TCATTTGTACCTCTCTCTGGATGTCAGTTTTATTCTTTCTCACTGCAGACTGTTCTCCTTCTTATAGTTGGAAATGTGACTATAAACAAATCCCAAGTTTTACCTCTGATAGGTTTCATCTCCAAAGGGAACTGCCTTTTATTTTCTGTGCTTCCAAGTTCAAATATTCTAAGGAAGGATTGTAACTGACCCACCTTATGTCACATAATGGATCAACCAATTGTAACTAGGGTCTTAAAATACTATGATTGGCTTAACTTGGGCCAGGTTGACATTCCTGAACCAATCAAATGGGAGCCGGGGTGGTGGGCTCATGTAAGAAAATGGCAATGCTCGTGGAAGCTGTAAAATTAGACGAGGAAGAGAAACTATTCTAAGAACAGAGGTTCTATTTCCAGAAGAAAGGCAAATATAGCTATAAGAGCCTCTTGTAGGAAAGATGGTATTTTAAACATGTTGAATTTGAAACCCCTGGAGGGTCAAAAGGAGGTCAAGGAAATGTGACCAGTTGAAATTATTACTCAAGCCTGCAAGAGACAATTTATGCATTTGGCTGATTTTGATCAAAGAGATTATTTCAGATTATAAATTTCAAATTCCGTATATGGCTTTACCCCAAATTTACCTAGGTCTCTAGTTTTCAAAACAACTTTGCACACGTGAAATAATTATGCCCTGTAATACAGTGGACATTGTCAATTAAGAGAACGGGTTGTGAATCACAGAGGCAAGACCTTAGGAGAAAAAAAAAATCCTGATCTATGTTTCTCCCCCATGAGGGAAGAGACAAAGCTATGGACTAGCAGAGCCTAAGGACCCCAAGATTTTTGGTCTGAGAACCTGTAGTATTGCAACTGAGAAAGGGAAGATATGTCTAAGGCAGGTTTGGAGTAAGTTCGAGTTGTCTCTCAGACATCCAAGTGGAGATACTGAGTAAGATATTAGATATATGGGACTGGATTTCGGAAGAGTGAGCTGGGAACTCCAAAATTAAAAGGTTAGGAATAAAAGGAAGAGCCATCCAAGGAGACTAATGAAGAAGCTTTGAGAGTAAAGGAAAATAACCAAGATAATATGGTGTTCTAGCAGCCATGTGAATGCAAAACATGAAAGAGAAGGGAAAAATCAATTGTGACAGATGCTGCTGAAGAGTGACACAAATAATGACAGAGAATTAACCACTGGATTTAGCAAACTGGCTGCCATTGGTGATTTTGACAGTTTCTATGCAGTAATAAGAGCAAAAGGCGAGAGTTACACTTTAGCCACAAATGCCAGCAGACAAGGCAGAAATTAGATGGGTCATTGTCCTGGAAACTAGAGTATTTATGAGACACAGCATCTAACATCTTAGGACTCTGACTCTTCTATGTTCATAATGTTCTGTAAGCCCTACCCCTTCCCTCAGACACAGGGACACCACCTGAGGGAGAGAACTCGGGGGTTGGAGGGCTGTGTAATAACTGAGCATTGTTTGTGTTTTACTTTTTGCCAAGGCAGACTTTTGATAAAGTTTCTGCCTAAATTAACAGATCAAACTAAGCTTTAAATCAAAGTTAATGTTTTTTCTTCTTACCAGCAGGTATAGAGAAAGAACAAATCAACTATGACAAAACTAATAAAACTACATTTTATCCTCATGTTGGATGTGTTACCTGTGTTAAATCTTTGACCCTCATGTGGGTCAAATTTTTATTATGTTTTCACTAGTAAACTTCCCATATCAATTCATAACTCATGCTTGATAATTTTTTCAAGCATATCTGATTTTTTCTTACAATTATTAATATTTGGCAATTGTTAAGCTGTATCTTACTGGTGATTTTGGTTCAAGAAATTGAATAATATCCAGGTAAAATCCTAAAGGTAAAAATCAGGGTAAGTTTGAAAATGGGTCATCCACCTGAAAAGTGGAAGAATAATGGGAAGAGAGTCAAAATGAGAGGACTCAGGAGCTAGAAACAAAAAAGAGAGAGGGAGAGAAGGGGTAGTGGATGAAGGAGGCTTAGATAGTTTTTGAAAGTGCATGTTAAAACACATGTTACAGTTTTCACCTTCTGTAGATACGTATTTGCATGTGTATTTCAGATCTAATTAAAAGTTTCAGAATAAGGTGCATATCTCACAATATTTTGGAAAGCATATTAAGAAATAATAACACAAGCACTGAAATCAGAGAAAATTTGGTTTAAGAACTAGCAGTACCACTTATTAGCCACATGGATCTGAGCAAGTTACTCTTTGAGACTCAGAATCCTCATTCATAAAATGGAGGAAATAATAATATGTAACTCAGCAAGCTGTTCTAAGAATTGAACAAGATAATGCAGATAAGGCTCTTTTTGCAGTGCCTTCCCAAATAAAGGCTCAATAATTTTTAGTAGTTATGGTTAGTGTTATTATATATCATTGAGAAGTCTTTCTTTAGAAGCCTTTTCCATCAGTACCTTCTTTTTTTCTTACTTATTTCTCCAGCCCTATTAGGGCCCTTGATGAATCTCATCAATGATACTCTCATCAGCACCTTCAATGAGCTTTCTCCTCTGACTTTTCACCACAGGTATTATGCCAACTCTCACCCTGTGAATCCACTGACTGGGGAACATTGCTTAAGAAAATCACATGGCTGTGCCAACAAGCAAGGTAGGAACGGCCATGTGAATTCACTGGGGGAGAGGGGGGCCATTTGTAAGATTACTTATGCAAAAGGATGTCCTGGCTAAGACTAGACTCAAGAGTTTTAAAATTGTTGATGAGTAAAATCAAGTAGAAACTTTTATTTAAATGTAACCCTATGAGCAGTTTTTGGTCTCTAAGATAGAGATTTTGAATTACCTGGACAGGCTGTTTCCTGTTTTCTTTTTAAGAAAATCAACAGATGAGGTCTTTAACTATACAATCTCAAGGCACTTTTGTTTTTGACAAAATTGCGGTGACCTGTGGGGCTGAAGTTAAGTGTTGTGGTTTGATCATTGTGTAAGGTAGAAGCAGAGTTGGATCTCAAAGAATGTTGACTTCATTTCTTCTTTTTTTTTTTTTTTTTTATTAGTTGATTTGTTCGGTTGGTTTATTTATTTATTTATTTATTTATTTATTTATTTATTTTTTGCTTTGGGTTTTGGTTTTGTTTGCTTTAAGTTTTGGGAATTCATTGCAGGAGACATATGGCACAGAAGACAGAGGCAAAAGCAGCTTTACTGAAAAACAGAGCATGAGTAGAACGACTTTAAGTCCCATATGGCACCACAGTGAGAAGTGACTTCCTCTGAGCTTCTTAGAGAATCCAACAATGTCCTGCTCCCTTGGGGAGCTGCAGCCATGGGCACATAGGAATAGGGCTTCCACCAAGAGTCCCATCAGTCGCAGCAACAGGAGGTCTTCCTCAGACAGCTTTGATGATAGTGATTGCTAGCTAGAGCAAGCTAGAACCAGAAAGAAAAGCTTTGAAGATGCCACAGTTGGAGTCTGAGCACCTTCAGGCTCCCTGTTGGAAACTGGCAAACCTGATTGTGGGACACTTGGACGCTGAGTTCCAGTAAACATGCTGTGGGAGGCACTGTAATTTAGTCACTAACATTTAAAAATTGTCTAGTTCTATATACATATTCTATTGAAGACTTCTTCCAACCACCTTGTATTATAAATTTAAAATATGAAATACAAACTCTTTATATGTATTGACTCAGATTACCTAGGAAGTGACAGTGACTTATTCATCAATGTTTAGAATCATAGTAAGTTATAGACTATAGTCTGAGAAAATTACTTGGACCAAGAAAGCAATGTCCCTGACATTCGTGAGTCTAGAACCAGAGCTGCCCATTAAGTTAGGTGCAAATTTATCAGAAAACAATATTTTTCCCAAATACATATTGCAGTCATAAAATGCCCTAAAACCCCAGTTCTTAGAGGGACTACTGCTTACTTACTGAGAAATTTTATTCTCCGAAATCATAGACTATCAGATGCATTGCTGTTTAAAATTATTGCAACAAGAATGAAATATCTCACTCTTATCTGGAGGAGTTAAGTCATTGTGATCAGTGAAGCCTTGATTTACAGCCCCTGTGCAAAGCTTCAAAGAATGGGTCTCAGGACACAACATTTGACATCTTTTTTTAACTTCATTTCCAGTAAAACAGGACTGCTATGGTTTGAATGTTTGTCTCCCCCAAACCAATGTGTTGGAGGTGGAGCCTAACAAGAGGTATTTGGGTTATCAGGGTGGATGCCTCATGAATAGATTAATGCCCTCGCTGGGATAGGGAGCAGTGAGTGAGTTCTTACTTTATTCGTTCTCAAGAGAGCTGGTTGTTAAACAGAGCTTGGAACCTCTCTCCTCCCTCCTTGCTTCCTCTCTCACCATATGATCTCAGCACACAACACCTCCCCTCACCTTCTACCATGAGTGGAAGCAGCCTGAGCCTCTCGCCAGGAGCAGATGCTGGTGCCATGCTTCTTGTACGGCCCGTAGAACAGAGAGCCAAATAAACCTCTTTTCCTTAGAGATTGCCCAGCCTCAAATGTTCCTTTATAGCAACACAAAATGGACTAAGACAAGGACCATAGGTCCATTTCACAGTACAGAGCTGAGGTTGACCCCTTTTATACACAACCATGTTTGCTTAGAGCCCATAGAACATCACTTCATTTACATCACACCTAAATTCCACTCTTCAGCAAAATCCTATGTTAACTCTATATTTTCCTTTGTTTGGTGAGATACCTCACAGTTGCTCTGTTGTGCAGTCCCCACACTGTCATGAGTCAGTAAACTCGATTGGTTTGTTTACAGGTTGTCCCTGGTGGTTTTAGGCTGATTGGGCTAAGACAAACCATGTCTTATTTTTTAAATGTCTCCTTTAAGCAAATGTTATTATCTGTATTTTACTCTATTCTATAAGCAGAAGTAACAAAGTTGTCTAATTGCACCAAAAGATGTTTATAGCATAAAACTTTCTGTGCTGTAAACATAGAAAGTTCTTGAAATCAAAAAGAAAAAATTACTGTCCTTAAAATGAAAAATATATATATACACAGAGTTGGGGCTTTTTCACTTTACTAAAGCTCAGGCTGTGCTTCTTACAATGGAACAATGATCAAGAAATAGAACTTTTTTTCCTCCTTTATAATATGACCAAACAAGGGTTAGTGGCAATGAGCACTGCATTACTTAAAAGATACTGAAAAACTTGAAATACTGATGAATGTCTAGCAAACACCTGCTTCCCAATCCTCACTCTTGACCTAAGACCTTGTTTCCTATTTCACTGAGAAACAGAGAAAAAATTAGATGAGAATGTGCACAAGCTCCTACCATAAGATCTTCCTACCTTCCTCTAACTGCACCTCTATACTGTTACTATCAAATGCTCCTGTGTCCCTAACAAAGGCTATTTCCTCTCCTTTTGCACTAAATTCCATGTACTCATGCCTATGAGGAGACATTGTTCCAGTAATTATCTCCTTTCTTCTGCCTGAGTCAGCCTCCAGGATGGCTCCCAGTGATCCCCACCCTCCTGATATCCACACCATGATGCAATCTGCTTACACTCTAAATCAGGGATGAACCGTGTGACTAATAGAACACTGCAGAAGGGATGATGTGTGACTTCAGATGCTAGGTCACAGAGGACAAGGACACTGCCCCCTTCTTGGATTTCTCACTCTGTGGAAAGGCAGTAACATTCCATGAAACAAGCAGTCCTGTGGTGAGGCCCATGTCAAGAAGGCCTGAGATCTCCCAACATCAACTACAGCCAATTCGTCAGTCATGTGAGTAAACCACCTGGGACGTGGATCCTCTCGACTCAACCACCTCTTCAGGTGGCCAGAGCCCTAGCCCAGCTCTGACTGCAACCTGATGAGAAACCCTGAGTAGGAAGCCCTGCTTGAACTGCTCCCAAATTACTGATCCCCAGAAACTATGAGAGATAATACATGCTTAGTGTTCTTTTAAGCCACTACATTTTGGGGGGCTATATTTATTACCCAGTAACAAATGACTAATACATCTCCTGTGATCAAAACACTTCAGAGGTTTACCATTTCTCCCAGAGAAATATCCAAAGTCCATAAGACCCATAAGGCCCCTCACATTCTTCCCATCCCCCATTATCTCTCTAACTCCATTTTCTACCCCTCTCCTTCTTACCACCTCAACCCCAGCTACAGTGACTTCTTTGCCCTTCCTCAAATCTGCCTCAGGGCCTCTGTACTGGACACACTCCCAACTCCTACTCCCTCCTCCAGGCCTTCACTCAAATGTCTCCCTCTCAGTGGGGACTTCCTTTCCTAAAATGCAGTACCCCCAACCTTCACACCCACACACCCACACACACACTCACACACACACACACACACACACACACAGTCTCTAGTCTTCCTGGCTCCTTAATTTTTTTTTTCCTTAGGACATATCACTATTTCATATACCATATAGGTCATCTATTATCTGGTTTCCCTTCCTTGGATGTAAGCTAAGTTGGTGCAGGGGTTTTTGTCTGTTCCCAATGTCTAAAAGAGTGTCTGGTTTACAGTAGACACTCCATGAAATTTGTCAAATGAATACACCAGTGTTAAGAGTGTAAGAGTGTAATAGTAGCTTCAAAAATGCCTCAAAGATAAATCTTTTGATTTATCTTTATCTTTAGATCTACCCCCACTTTAGCCAGTTCTAAAATTTACTACTAGAAAAACCTTTTCTTTCCTGAAGAACTGTCTCACAAAAATAGCAGTTAAATAGGAAGCTAACCTAACCCACTGTTTGCCTTTTCTCTTGTGAAACTCAGACCAAAATTGAAAGTCGTCTATAGTAACTATGTGTTCTTGGCATCTAAACTCTGTTTTGTTTCATCTTGACTTTCTTAATTTCCCAGGTTTTTTCCTTTGTTCCTATTATTTTATTGTTTTTATTCTATATTGCTTCAAAGACTATGAAATTAAGTAGATTATAAATACAAATATAAGTAAGTATACTAGTGTTTTCTTAAGCTCACAATATATTATTATAGTTATCTTTGATTCAGTTTATTATAATTACAGAATTGTAAACTTTTCAAGGAATAAATCTTTAATTTTTGTGAACTCTCCTTTTAAAATCAACAAAGATAATATTTTTATTATTTATTGGAGTATGCTTTTTTTCCTTTTTCTTTTCTTTTTTTTTTTTTTTTTTTTTTTTTGTTTTTTTTGAGACAGAGTCTCGCTTTGTCACCCAGACTGGAGTGCAGTGGCTCAATCTCACCTCACCTCCTAGTTTCAAGTGATTCTTCTGCCTCAGCCTCCCGAGTAGCTGGGATTACAGGCGCCGCCACCGCGTCTGGCTAAATTTTGTATTTTTAGTAGACATGGGGGTTTCACCATGTTGGTCAGGCTGATCTTGAACTCCTGACCTCAAGTGATCTACCCACCTCAGCCTCCCAAAGTGCTGGGATTACAGGCATGAGCCACTGTGCCTAGCCTGGGGTATTCTTACTGTAAAACATTTTACATGGAAAATATACTTTGAATCAGGAGAGAAACATTTCAACACAACATCATTATTTCTTAGTAAACTGGCACATTTTTCCTAATTTCAGATTATTCTTGGAAATTTTTGTTTGCTTCTATGATATAATAAAATTCTACTTGAAAATTATGTGTTAAATTGATTCCTTCTCCATTTCCAAAAAACAGAGGAAGGGTTATTTTAAACAATAAAGTGGTTGATTATGTTATCCAATGAGTCAGCACGTTTTTTTTTTCTGCCTTCCCCAGTCATCATTTCTCATTATACACAGAGATCCTCAAAACGAGGAGCAGATACATTCAGTCTGTAGGATCATTTAGCAACTGGAGGAAGGAGAGTAAGTAGCCTGGATTTTTTTAAAGTTCCCACATCCAAACATCCTAAAAGATCATAAAAAGATAAACAAATGTTCAGAGATTAAATATGGAAAATATTGGTATTGGTTTTGATTCTATAGACAAGAATAAAATGCCACTTGACAGTAGATTTCTCACTTTATAAGTAATCTTGTATTTGGTGAATGGCTAAAAATATAGTCAAATGAATTAAATATATATTGAAATAAATGGGCAAATCTATATCATCAATTATCAATTATCAACCCCATCAATTACTTCATCATATCTAAATATATATGATATGTATTTCTCAGCCTGGTGAAGTAAGCCAACCCCATCAATAATGTCATTGTATTTAAATATATATTTAATATATATTAATATTCTGCATTAATATATTTAATATTTAATATGTTGATCTATATTAAATATATAAATATATGTGCAAATATGATGAGATCATTTAGGGGATTGGTTTCCTTCACTAGGCTTAGAAAATAGTTTAACTGCAGTAAAATAATCACAAACTTAAAATTATAACACTTTTGCACACTATTTTCAGAGCAGTTTTAGATTTATGGAAAAAATCGAGCAGATAGGAGCAGAGTTCCCATATAACCCATCTCTGCTCTCTCACAGTTCCCCTATTAGTAACATCTGCATTTGAGTTGTACATTTCTCACAGTTGATGAACCAATATTGGTACATTATTATTAACTAAACTCCATTGTTTACATTAGAGTGCACTCTGTATGTTGTATAGTAGCTCTATAGGTTCTGGTATATGTGAAAGGCTGCAAATGTAATGTATCTAGGTTAATGTTCTATACGAGGTTGAGAAGAACGTGTATTTTGCTGCAGTTGAATGAGATATAACCATCAATTAAACCCAAGTGATGATAGTACTATTCACTTTATTACATTCTTACTGATTTTCTGCCTGTTCGATTTGCCAGTTACTAATAGAGGAATATTGAAGACCCCAACTGCAATAGTCTATTTGTGTCTATTTCTCCTTGCAGTTTTACCAGATTTTGCCTTATGTATTTAGACACTCTGTTGTGAGGAGCATACACAGGATTGTTATGGCTTATTGGACAGTTGGCCCCTTTATCATTATGTAATTGCCTTCTTTATTCCTAATAATTTCCTTATCTGAAGTTTGCTTTGTCTGAAGTTAAAATAGTTATTCTAGCTTTCCTTTGATTAGTGTTAGAAAAATATATCTTGTTGGGCATGGTGGCTCATGCTGTAATCTCAGCACTTTGGGAGGCTGAGGGAGGAGGGTCTCTTGAGTTCAGGAGTTCAAGACCAGCCTGGGCAACATAGTGAGACCTCATATCTACAAAAAATTAAAAATTAGCTTGTTGTGGTGGCACATGCCTGCAGTCCCAGCTACTCAAGAGACTGAGGTGGGAGGATCACTGGAGCTCGGGAGTTGGAGACTGCAGTGAGCCATGACTGTGCCACTGCACTCCAGCCCAGGTGATAGAGTGAGATCCTGTTTCAAAGGTAAAAAAAGAAAAGAAAAGAAAAGAAAAATATATCATCTCCATTCCTTTTGTGTCTTTATAAGTAACATGGATTTCTGGTAAACAACATAGAGTTGATGCCTGTATTTTATTCAGTCTGTCAGTCTTTGTCTTTTAATTGGTAGGCCATTTATATTTAAAGTGATTCTTGATAGAGTTGGATTAATATCTCCCATATATTGTTTTCTGTTTGTTGCCCTTGTAATTATTTCCCTTTTTTGTTTTCCCCTCTTCATATGGTTTGGCTCTGTGCCCCCACCCAAATCTGAAGTGGAATTGTAATCCCCATAATCCCCACCTGTTGAGAGAGGGCCTTGGTAGAAGGTAATTGGTTCATGTGGGTGCTTTCCCCCCATGCTGTGCTCATGATAGTGAGTTCTCACGAGATCTGATGGTTTTATAAGGGGCTCTTTCCCTTCGCTTCCTCTCGCCTGCTGCCATGTACGACATGCCTTTGCTTCTCCTTTGCCTCCTGCCATGATTGTAAATTTCCTGAGGCCTCCCCAGCCATGCAGAACTGTGAGTCAATTAAACCTCTTTCCTTTATAAATTACCCAGCTTCAGGTAGTATCTTTACAGCAGTGTGCAAACAGACTAATATACCTCTTTTGCTCCCTTTTCTAGTTTTACTTGAGCATTTTAAATGATTATATTTTCTATCCTCTCTTAGCATATCAATTACACTTAAAAATATGTTTTTAGAAATTGCCCTAGAGTTTGCAGTACACATTTACAACTAAGTCCACTTTTCAATAACACTATACCATTTCACAGTTAGTGCAGGTACTGTATAAAAGATTATTCCCGTGCCTCTCTCCTGTTCCTTAAAGCATTGCAGTTATTTATTTCATTTATTCATAAACTAATATGACCCAATGTATTACTGGTATTATTATTTTGAACAGTTATCTATGCAATCAATTAAGAATAGGAAAAACATTCTAGGTTGGTGGATTTTTCTTTCAACACTATAAATATTTCACTCTACTCTCTTTTTGCTTGCATGGTTTCTGAGAAGTCTGATGTAATTCTCATCCTTGTTCCTCTATAAATAAGGTGATTGTTTTTCCTCTGACTCCTTTCAATATTTTCTCTTTGTTCAGTTTTCCACAATTTGTATACGATATGCCTACATGTGGTTTTTAAAAAAATTTATCTTGCTTGGTGTTAACTGATCTTCCTGGATCTGTAGTTTGATGTCTGTTATTAATTTTAGAAAGTTGTCCACTATTATTAGATACCTAGATATCTATTATTTATGTATCTTCTGCTGCTTTCTTTCTTTTCCTTCTGGTATTCCTATTACCTGTATTTTATGTCTTTTGTAATTTTTGTACAGTTCTTGGAAATTTTGTGGGGTTTTTTTTTTTTCATATTCTGTTTTCTGTTTCCATT